ATTCCAGAATAACGCAACGTGACACAGGGTTTTTGCCATGGAGGGCAGGATCAAAGCACTGCTGTGTAATGACACCAGCAGACAAAACAATAAAGTCTCGGTAATAACAACCGACCAGAAAATCACTGCTTTTTAAATGCCGAACGGCCGTCAATGCACCCGCGTAACGATGAACGACACGTAGAGCACTGTTGTGTGAGAAAGACCTGCAAGCACACACGGGTCTAACCCCAAAGCCTTCCGCGCATGAGCCGCGGGGTGCTGGGTACTGACCTCACTCCATTGTGAATTAATGAAATCATAGTGGGATATGGGACATACTAGTCATTACAGCTCACAAATTTATAATGTACGAATTATGTGATTCAAGGAAATGATGAAAAAAATCGCGCTTACATGTACCAACAAATAATATCCACAGAAAGCCTTTTTGAACATACGGCCAAATTCATCAAATCCCAAAATGAAGTTTATAAAATCAGAACGGCCAATTTGCTCATGAAGCCCCCTGTTCATAATGTCGGCTATCGGCTATTTATCGGCTGGGGTAATCCATGATGGCTGGGAAACATACGATATGAGAGCTGCCCTGATATTCAAAGTGTGGGATCCATCATGACACAATGGGTTAGGCAGCTGCAGCTTTTGGTATTTGACACATGCCTCTTGGTGTACACAGACATGAAGTGTACATACAACATTTAAGAAATGAGCATGCGATGAAAAAGTGGGCAAAGTCTGGGGCAAAAACATGACCGGTATAGAACAGGTTGTGTCCGGGGCTGCAGCTCAAACCTCATGAAATGATGATGCATGCATGCACGCATATGATCATGAAAGCCTTCCGTTCCCTTCTCATGCTGCTGTCAAAGATTGTTCTCGAATTGGTTGTTCCAAACCTCATGTATATTGTAGCAGTAGGATTAACATTTTATAGATGCAGAGGGAGGTAATAGTTTTAATCTGGGCAACGGTGACATCAACCATGTGGTGATGTATAGGAACCGAGAAATGGAAGTTAGCTCTTCCTCTTCCTCGTCAAGATTTCAATATCTAAGTCTGCTGAGAAGCAGGAATATATCAAGCTGTTTGTCACCTTGATGTAGTTTTTTGTATTTTTTTTCCCAAAAAGAAGAATACGGGAGCAAATGCAAATGATAATTAGCTCTTACCAGAAAAGATGTTCTTATCTGAAGAACACATGTTGTCTGATAACTGTTGATGTTAACAGCTGAAGGTATCCAACTTTAAGCATGGGTCACTTTATGTAAGATTTATTCGATCATATTTGTGCCAGCTTTAAAGCTTGGTGGGCATATCGTGACTGCTTTGGCGATGCGTTATTTGGCACCTATGAATGGCTTGGCCCACACCCAATGTGGTCAGTCTGTCAACGCTTTTTCTGAACTCAAACATTGATTAATTGATCGTTTTGGGTATTTATTGATCGTTTTGGGTATTATGGGTATGATCGTATTGGGTATTTTATTACAGAGGTTGATCCAAAGACGGATGCGGGACCATTCCCCCCCCCCCCTTGGCCCCGAGGGGGCCCAAAGGCGACAGAACAGACGCAGTTTTTTACACAAGTGTGGACGTCTTTCAAATCAAAATTGGACGTCCTTGGGCTTCCAGGCGACCAAAGACAATCGCAAGTGAAGTGAAAGCGGATGGCCAATGAATAGACAAGTATTATTTTTAACTGATTGATTTGGAGGTTTTATGCTCATTACGCTCTCCCAAGACCATGCGCTGTTTCCGGGACCTTATATGTCCACTTGCAGGGTTAATCCGATTGTTACTAAACCTTCTACATTACCCCAATCTTTCGCATTTGCTCGGAGATCACTGCGCTGTTGCTGGGCCCTTCCTGCTAGCGTGCTGGAGCACTCTTATTCATCAGGGGCGATCCATAATTCTTTTGATTCGCGGGAGAGGCTCTTTACGCTATGGTCGGGGGCCCCATAGTTAACCTACCGGGGTGTTCTCGGTTGTTCGGGGCCCTTCACGTCTGTCTCGGTTAACCTTCCGACACACTCACGATATGTCCATGGGCCCTCTACATTTGTCTAGGGCCCTTCCAATTTTTTTGTCACTTACTTAGAGCATTACGCTCTTGTCGCAGGTCCATGTGTTCACCTGCTTGGGCACATTCGGTCGTTCGGGGTTCACCAAATTAATCTGCTCAGGCACACTGGATTTTTTCGGGGCTCTGTATATTGGGTCTTGGTATATCAATGTACCACGCTTCTGCTGGGAGCGCTATCTGTTCACCTGCTTGGGCCCACTCGATTGCTCGGGGTCCTCCACATTGTGTTCTGGGTATTTCTTATTTAAATAGAGAGGCCTATGCTCCTGTCGAGGCCCTATCTGTCAAACTACTGCGACCCACCAGTCATTCGGGAGCCCTCTACGTTGTGTTGTGGGTATTTCGTATTTGAATGGAGGGAACTACGCCATTGTCGGGGGCCTTCTTCTGTTAACCAGCTTAAGCACACTCAACCGTTCGGGCACGCTTCACATTGTGTTTTGGACATCTCATATTTGAATAGGCCCTACGCACTTGCTATGGGCCGATCTGTTCACCATCTCGGGCACAACGATTGTTCGGGAGCCGTTGACAGTGGGTCTTGGTATTTCAATGTAGAGCCCTACGCCCCTGTCGGGGGCCCATTCTGTACACCTGTTTGGGCACACTCGATCGTTCTGGGCCATCTACATTGGGTCTTGGGTACTTCCTATATGAATGGAGGGCCCCCTTGTGCCCAAGGGGACCCAAAGGTCCCAAAGAAGCCCATGACCGGTCAAAGGGACGCCACGATTTTCTGACACAAAAGACAGCAAAATTGGACGTCTTTGGGCCTCCAGACGACCAGGAACAATCACAAGCGAAAGTGAAGAGCCCGCGAGCAGACGAAGTTAATTGTTCTCTGACTGAGATAGTGGTGATTGTGGGGGACATTTTGAGGCTGGCTCATTACGCTGTCCAGAGGGGCTGCGCTGCTGCCGGGACTGAAGGCCGGCTCATTACGCCGTCCAGAGGGGATGCGCTGCCGCCGGGACAGAAGGCTGGCTCATTCCGCTGTCCAGAGGGGATGCGTTGCTGCCGGGACTGAAGGCTGGCTCGTTACGCTGTCCAGAGGGGATGCGCTGCCGCCGGGACTGAAGGCTGGCTCATTCCGCTGTCCAGAGGGGATGCGCTGCCGCCGGGACTGAAGGCTGGCTCATTACGCTGTCCAGAGGGGATGCGCTGCTGCCGGGACTGAAGGCTGGCTCGTTACGCTGTCCAGAGGGGATGCACTGCTGCCGGGACCGTATACGTCCACTTGCCGGGTAAACCCGATCTGCTCACATGCTTGGACACTCTTGATCGATCAGCGGCCCTCCGCGGATTCTTCCCATTCGCCCAAAAGTCTCCATTCACTTTTGCCGGATCCCCACATACCGAGGTGTACTTGTTGCTCACGTGCCCTTCATATTGTTTCGGTTTATTTCCACTTGCTTAGAGGGTCTTGTGTTATGGCTGGGACCCATATGAGGTAAGGCGCCGGGCCACTCAATGTCTGGGGGCCCTTTACCCTGATCTAGGGCACATCTTTACACTGATAGATCTTTACACTGATCCTCTGATCTCGCATGCGGCTTATCCTTTTTGCCGATCTAGACCCATTCGGTTAGCCTGCCCGGTCACTCCTGATCACACAGGAGCATTCATTTACGCACACTGGCCTTGGGTAATTCCCCTTCGCTCAGAGGGCCGTGTGTTCTGGCCGGATATATGTTAGCCTGCACTCTCGATCTCGATCGTTCTGGGACTCACCACACTGGTCTTGGTATCTTCTCACTTGCTCTTGAGACCATTTACTTGTTGACGGAAGCCTCTTTGTTGACCTGCTGCGGCATCCATTATCGCTCAGGTTCTGTCCCTAATGGCCTTGGTGCTTCGGCCTGAAAGCAGCAGTCGTATATGCACGATGTATTTTCATGCGCAATTGTCGAACATAATTTTACGTGTCGCTAACGTCGTGTGCGTCATTTACGCTTCTTATTGAGTCTGTAACACCCATTTATTCGTGCATCACGTTCTTAATGCGTTTTAAAGGCTAGGATACTTTGTACTTCTTCATAACAAACAAAACAAGGCCTGTGCATCTGTCATCAGCCATCAGCTGATCACATCAACCAATCGACTAGCTGTAAATAAGCTTGGAATCAATTTCAAGCTGGATGTTAGAGGTATTTAGCAGCCACCGTAAGTTAATTGCGCGATGTTCTTTCAAGAATTACAAAATTTCAAACAGGATTCATAAACCTGAAGGGGTCAAGGGTTTGAGATTCCCTTAAACAAGGTAATATAATTCTCGATGGGGCTCTCAAATGCTCTATGGGATATTTCCACAAGACCCTTTCCAGGCGGGGAGCACTGCTTGTTTTCAGTGTACTGAAAGGATGTGTCAGACGTGCCCCACATTTCCATTGTGGCGGATGCCAAGTCTAAATTTGTGAACGAGCTAGGATGGGACCGATTGCGGAAATGTTAGCCCGCTTGAAAGTGATACGGGAGCATCTAATTTATTGTGACAGTCTGTAAGCTAGTACTCCGAAACGCGAGACAGGAGGTCTACGAATGTGGTGGTATTAGTAACATAAACGCAAGCTAGCTGCTCAGTAAGTGATTTAGTTGGGTCTGTTGTGACATCGTAACCCGTCGAACGAAGTTTAAGGCTTCCTTGTTCATCTGAAGGACGCAAAGCAAAATGGATCATCTGGGGTGATCCAACATGCTTCGGTTCTCTACCAACTCTGGGCAGGTCCAGGCTGCACGAAGAGAACCTGCAAGGTACGCCTCGCGTGCATCTTCGGAGCGGCTTCTTTACAGTCGAGTCCCCACGCCAGAAGCCCCTCCCCTCCCCCCTCCTTTCCTGGCACGGGGGCCGCGCTGCCGCCTGCAAACCCGCTCAACGCGGAGACGACAGCGACGGCCAATCATTACGAGGTCAGTGGTGGCGGCGGAGGGTTCGGCGTCGCTGGCTCGCTGGCCCTGCAGACGGTCCGCAAGCGCTGCCGGGTCGGCTGCGCCACCTAGCACGACATCATGGACTCGGCCGCGACTCCAGTTGACCCGACGGACGGTGAGGCAGTGCGGCCATCGTCGCTTTCTGCGGCGCGCTCCGCCGCCAGCCAGACCCCGAGCGACGGCAGCGGCCAGGCAGTTTCCCGGGGATGTGGTGGCCTGTCCCGGGCTATGTGCACCTGTGGCACGGCCGTTACGAGGGGAATGTGAGGCCAGGCCTAGTCGAGCTCTCTAGCACCGGCCGAGTCGGGCTTTCTGGTGCTGGGTCGGCGGGGTTTCTGTTACCGGACCGAGTCAGGATCTCCGTCTTCTGTACCGGGCCAAGTCAGGATCTCATGCGCTGTCCGTGGGGTACTTTCATCTTCTACCGCAACATGCTGGCTTAATGAGGATCCCCGTTTAGAAAAGCCCGAGTTGTTGTCGGGGGCTAATTTCCGAGGAACACTAATCGCTTCCGCGTGACATTCCCCGCGTCACTGAAATTACTGCCGAGAGTCCGTTCATCAACTACGGAGGAGATTCGGCAGACCGGCTAATATGGCAGACACATTCAGCCCCTCCCCCCAGCCCCACTTGCGATCCGTGCGTTGTTGACTTCAAAGTTGCTTCCCGAGCTTGTGCTGCACTGGCTCTTTTACTAACTGTTCTTTTACTTTATTGGACGCAGCCTTCGGCGCTTGGAGCGCCCAGGATTCTCGACGGTCTCGTAATAGATGTCACTTTCGATCCGTGATTGTGATGATGAGCTGCATCGAATGAAATAAATGTTCAAGAACTCTATGATGCAGAACGTTCGGCACACATCTTTGAAAAGCTTTATTGCTGGCAAAGAGGCGAGACAGCCATCACGTGAATGGATACTTCAAAACTGTCCTGGTAATCGCTGTTCGCTACCTTCATCAGTCCTCAAAACAGTGGTGATGAGTCGAGAAAAGTCATTAAACATGCGCTCTGCTTCAGTGCCATCAGCAGTCTCATGAGAGAAAACAAAAAATGTTTGAAAGTAGAATGCTAAACCACTCGTAATATGATAACTGCAAAAACTTGCACATATTTCCCTAATATTTTTCAATAATTTCTTGGCAACAGGTTCTAACCAGCACCTCCTGGTATACTGAACGTCAGGACCAGCACCTCCTGGTATACTGAACGTCAGGTATAATAAGCACAAGAGCCCACTGCTGCTCCATATCCTTCTTTGGCAAATACCTCACGGCCTCTTGAAATTCGCCTATAAGCAGCCTTAGAACTCACAAGTGCCGCACGCCAGCTGGGCAGTGTGATGGAATTAGGTCTGCTGCTTACACCCCGCTGGACTCTACCTATTGATGCGTCAGACATTGCGCGCAGGATACGCAATAAGCGCCGTCGGCTTGTCCCCGAACGACACCTGCCACGTCCTCGGCCACGCCACGCCCGTCTCCGTAATCCAATCAGGTCCGAGGAGGTCACGTCATGCACAGCCGTCTCCGCTGGTGTCCACGATATATGCGATCTGGTATAGCGTATGCGTATGCAGTGCGACAATGGTGTCATGATGTTCGTGCTGACAGAACGCGTCCCACCGGTGATAGAAGCGGTCTGTTAATTTTGGCTCTTTCGAGGTGTCCGAGAGGGTGCCATAGATTTGCCGTGTTAAGTTGCAGAATGAATGCTTTCAGGTCAGAGCTTATAGGAAGAGCTCACTTTTATTTTAATGTGTATCTGATCTTGGAAGTTTTAAGAGCACTAACTCTCGTTGCGAACCGTGACCCTTCGGGCTTCGTGATCAGTTTGGGAACCTTTTCAAATATGCAATGATAAGAAATGTTTAAAATTATAAGTCTGCTCTTGGTAATGAGGAATAGACTAGGTTTTCTTGCAGTCTGAAAAGAGCAATCCACGTACCGATGCTTCCTTCTAACCTTCATGGCGGTTCTTGACGGACAGCGGCCATTTCCATAAATCCCGGAGTCTTTCACAGGTTTCAGCGATTCCCATAGCGGCTGTGGGACCAGTAGCAAGGGCAACCATCCTCCCGTTCTCTGGCAAAGTCTTATACTTACTCAATGGCATTGTTTGATAAAAACAAGGTAAAACGGGTTGAGATTGGAATTGGTGGCACTGATATACATTGCCAATTCTGGAAAACGTATGAGTTCTTCGGGCACATCTCTCGAATTGAGTCCTCTCGAATCTCGAATCTCTTTAAGTTAAACGAGATTGAACAACACAGCTGTCCAGAATCACTTTTCCATCGGAGACACGAGTGAGGGCAGCTTCCAGCGCGCACATGCTTTGAGAAGAGCGCAGCACACAAGCGGCTGCGCGCCAACTGGCATGTGTGTGTGTGTGTGTGTGTGTGTGTGTGTGTGGTGTGTGTGTGTGTGTGTGTGTGTGTGTGTGTGTGTGTGTGTGTGTGTGTGTGTGTGTGTGTGTGTGTGTGTGTGTGTGTGTGTTTGGTGGGGGGAGGGGAAGCGAGTATGCAGCCGTCACCGACACCTGGCTGCTCAGGATTGGCACCGCGGACCCAGCAGGCCTACGCCCAGGCTCGGTGCAGCCAAACAGACCGCAGTTCGCATCCCTTCATGAGTGTGGAGCAGACCAACACATCCATGCTGAGCGACTGTTGTTTGACATTAGCTTTAAATCCTTGCAGTGACAGGTACCAAGGGGTTACATACTTTTTGTTATTTTCACAACTGCCCCGGAACACCTATTCCTGTATAGTGCGCTTCGGAAGGATGAATTTGCGCGATCTGCTGTCATGTGTAGCTCGTTTCTCGAAGCTTAAGTACAATGTTATGTCAATATTGGTATGTGCTTTTGATTTTATAAACTGCACACTAAGCCAGTTTCTCAAAGCCGTCTTGTGGCCTTTGTCATAGTTTGTAAATTTGGCTGGGGCGCATATTTGTGTGTTTCGTTGCCATGGCAACTATCACCAAACTATAGATAGAACTGAAGCCATAAATGTTTTGAGCATATCTTACATTAATCCCACATACCATCGATCGATATAAAATAATATATTGGCTTTTAACTGTCCAGCTCGACAGCAAAGCAGCGACACCAGCTTAAGATTTTGGCAGATGATTATATTCAGCGACAATCACGACGCTTTGATTGAAAAAACACGATTTTGCTTCTCAGAAGATTAAATGAACGCGGGCAGATGCCGATATCGCAGTGGTTAACGCGTCTGGGTAGGGGTTTGATTCTCCGCGGTGCCCGCCTTTCCTGCCACGGTAAGAGGCAGGCGACGCCATGTAGCCATAAGTGCTGGGTGCGTCGTAAAGCCCCAATGATGACCATACACGAATGGAAACTACTGTCGGGGTTGTTGACGAGAACCAGAAAATGATGACGGCACGCCGTCCAAAAGGGATTTGTGTAATAGCATTGACCATCGAATCGCCCATGGTGGTGTGCACCTACCGCCCAGCAACACAATTTAGTTGGCCGCCCGCAGCGTTTTTTTTGGGGGGGGGGGGCATCGACGCGCTGTGTTTGTAAGTCTGCGTGCTACGTAATAAACAGAGCAGTGCGTACTGTAAATGGCTGCGGCTTTGTGCAGGTTCGTGCAGAACTAGGGGCTAAATTGGCGGCAAGGTTGTTCATAACTGATTTGTTCGGGGAAGGCAGCAATCTTCCATTGGTCAGCTTCTTCAGTGCGCAGTTTCATCTTTATGCTCTATCCATAGCGAGACTTTATTTTGCACGATAATTGCGGACAAGATAATTCAAAAAAGTAGTGCATAATGACAGTGCTTACTAAGCATATTTTGGGCATTGAAGGTGAGGTGGTCAGACCTCAGCTTTCGGAGCTAAAGGAATCATGTGAAATAAACATGAGATGCCATTGGGCACTGAGAAATAGGCCATTCACTGACCCAATGATAATCAGCCCGATGTACTGGTCATTGGGAACAGTCTCCTTCATAAGTGATCATTGAAAACAAGTTTCTGTAGTATAATTTTTGTGTGGACTAGCTGCTGTCTCATGGTGTTGTAATGCACAAGCGCAATGCAGGTGTGCTATCCATATGAAGCCTTTTTTAAATGTAAGATCATTCTGTAATGCTAAGCTATATTATTAACATTTATTGCACACCATTCTGTTACTCACCCAGGATACGTACTGCAGACGATGACACTGCCCATTATTTACTCTGAAAGTGTCCGGGATGCAACTTGCATGCACATCGAATGCAAATTGAACATCTGCATGCATGCACTATGTTTATTACAAGTGTTGTGATGACTACGCAACTTTCTATCAATTGAGATGTATTTTGATGTTTTTGCAAAGAAAGCCGCTTGAGAAGGCAGTTTGGCCTTATCTTTTAGTCTTAGCATGCCCCACCCAAGGCTTCTTGTCTGAGTGACTGGAACGGTCACTGTTTCTTGCTCACACTTACGTGCAATGCTCATTTTGCCTTTTGCAGCTGTTGCACACTGTTTAGGCTTGCCACTTTAGTAGATTGCCTTTCAATAAGAAACTCTTCTAAGGCCATGATTATAAGCCACAGCACAAACGCTTGCGATATAATTGCATTGCCAGGTTGATCAAGGATTTATCAAAGTTAAGCTATGTCGTAAATGAGTTCTTGGCTTTGATAAATTCATGCAAGGGTGTTGCATACTGTAGTTGTACATCATGCATTTTCCTTTGAGGAACTAGATTATACCATTATAGGTCAAAAGTATACGATTCACGCCAAAACTCTACGAATTTCTGCTATGGGAAACTGGCTACAGGTCACTCAAGTTGGTAAGTGGAATACGCATCGTCAAACAGCAGCACGGGTAGTCCTCCTATGACTAAATCAGTACGGATAGTCCTCCTATGACTAAATCAGTATGGATAGTCCTCCTATGACTAAATCAGTACGGATAGTCCCCCCTATGACCAAATCACAGCCATGCAGCACGGCATCAAATCTGTAAACATCATATCGTGCTCAAGGAGAAATGAAACGCCCTAATAAGTAAAGGGTGACGTTTCGCCCCGTGAAATAGTTAAGTCCCCGTCCCCTCGCCCGCTGAATGCTTACCAAGTATCACCAGTGCCTCAAG